TCAAAATCTACTCCTATTCAGTCTTTAAAACTTGGTAAGTCAAGTGGAGCCAGTAGTATCTCTGTGAAGCTACTAAAAATGCTTCAAGCACCTTGTGATCTTGCCTTTCTCATTAATGAATCTTTTGTCTCAGGAACCTTTCCTGATATCCTTAAAATTGCCAAGGTAGTACCAATCTTTAAGAAAGGACTTGCCTCGAGGACATCTTATTAGAGATCAATCCCTCTCCTCTCTGTATTTAGTGAACTGCTGATGACACAAACATCTATTGTGAATCAGATGATCTTTCTCTGCTTACAAGAAAAGTTAACAAAGAACTAAAGAAAGTAAAATTGTGGCTGGACTCAAACAAGCTTCCTCTTAATATCGGAAAAACTAATTTTGTACTTTTTCACTTCCCTCAAAAGAAATTATCAGGAAACATCAAACTCAGAATTGGCAAACAGGAAATTCAAAGAACCAAGTATGTAAAATACTTATGGATGAGCATCTCTCCTGGAAGTATCACACAGTTCAGCTTTGCAACATTTTTTACTAAAATATAATGAATGCCGAATTAATCACATGAAGCAAATGATAAATGAAAAGGAACTTCAGAATTGCCTGAAACATTATACACTGACTTTCATTATACACCTTCAACCTCAACAATAGCCTTTATCCTAACAAGACTCGCCAAAAATAGATCGCAATGAACAAAACTACAGCTAACTATAAAATACCACCCTACAAGCTCATAATACCCCAGTCCCCAGTAACCAAATATCTAAAGTTACTGCTTATCTTTGTTCTGGGTTGATAGGTCTTCTCAGCTGTGTTTCAATTTTGTAAAGATCTTTGCCAACAAGTCTGAGAGGATTTTCGAATGTTTCATGAGCATACAAAAGTATTTGAAAAACAATGCGTGGTAGAGTAACTTTTATTGGCAACACTGGCATCAATGTCAAATTGTGACATTTCATCTTTTGAGAAGCATTTTCCTGCCTTTTCCAATTTTGAATCTTGTTTTGGTGAATGCTTTCTCTCTTTCATGTTGGTTAAAAAAGATACATGGAGAGTAAGACCCCCATGTTCATTTGGTTTGACTTTTGCTAGTTCTGACTTTGTACGAGCATTCAATGAAGGAGGTAGTTTTGCGCTAAAAATAAATCAACAATTTTGGCGCTTCGCTTTTTTCATATGATAAACGCAGTTTACATGAGATAGTAAGTCACCTCAGGAATTCATGTCCATGCCTTTAGGTCAGTCATTTCATGCTCTCCCAAATGTTGACATTAGCTATTTTAATGTTTATAAACAAAGGTATAAATTACATTCCCATCTTTGAAGTTGTTAATATAAGTAGTTAAACTTAGACTAAATTATTTACTAGCACTATTTCCATTAGTTTCCAAGCTGTAGCCTTGAAAATTTCCAAAACACAACAAAACAGAATTATGTACAAGGGCAGATATTACGTAACGTTCTTAAGGCGAATATAGGTGTAAGGCAATAGCTGTCCATGGAATGTTCTCAGGAAAATGACATGCTCTTCTTTCTTGCAAATGATATCGTCTGTAGGGTCGTTCATTGTCATCATGAAATACCTCATTGTTTGTATCGATAGTGTAGTCTTAGTCAGAACTGGTATACACCCTTCCTTCATCGGAGTCTTTTTTCTTTGATGCGATACAATCCAGAATATCATCTTGATGAAACGAACGATCACAAAACATCACGTCTTGAACAGGACGATCTGTGTTTTGTCCATGACAACTGGTGTTAAGCGGACATGATGAACGGTTTTTGTTTCTTTAGTCTGGTCGTTTTCAATCTTGAAATTAACTCCCCTAGGTAACTTTTGAAGGACTGTTCATGGAACCCGGCAACGGGGAGCTAGTTTATGATTCTCGCCGTCTTATAATACTTTACTTTAACGTACCTTTGCACCTTGTGGAAAGTCATTAAAACGAATATTATTGTTATATTGTTTTTGCATATTGGATCTACTTAATTGGAGATTGCCGATTGCAACATCATAGGCCGTCTTCATTGTTTGTTTGAATCCATCGAAGTATGGTCAGCAGTAGCGAATAGAACATCGATAGGGAGGCGTGCAGATCTGCCAAACACAAGATCAGAAGGTACATGATTTATGGCCTTACTGACACTCATATCTAGGGCAAAAATAAATTCAGGCAATATTGTGGACCACTTGGATTGGTTCAATGAACAATGTAAGAGGGCGGAGCGAAGGATGTCCTTGACGCTACCAATATTTTTCTCTGTGAAACCATTTTCCTGAGAGTGGTAGGCGGATGAAAGTTGTTTCTCGATGCCAAATACATTGCAAAGCTTGTGTAATGCCTGACTATCTATATTAGATCCTTGGTCACTGCGGATTTATAATGGTATACCATGAATATAGATCCTTTTAGACAAGAGTGCTGTAATAATCGAGGACATCGTTTGATCTTTTAACAGGACTGCTTCAATATATTTAGAGAAAATGTCACCTATGAGCAGAAAATATCTTCGAAACCTTTGTTAATCTTAGGCATATATGCAATATCAATGCAGATGAATTGCATTGGGGCATCAGGGATTACCATGTCGACTAAAGGTGCTTTAGGAGGGGCAGTGTTGCGTTTAGTTTGCTGACAATGTACATAAAAAGAAATGCAATTCTTCACGTAGCCATACATATCAGTACCAAAATGTGCCGTGTTATGAACTTCAGAAATAACGAATTTGTTGGAATAACTGGACGACCTGATTTTGTTAAAACACTGTACTCTATTTGGAGTTGATTTTGGATTCTCTTGAAGCAACCTTGTAAAATGCATGGGTTATTTTCTACAGCATGTTTAGCTCTATTGACAACTGGATCTGAGTGCTGTTCTTCCAATAATTATTCTTTAAAAGAAATAAATGGCTGAAAAAGGTTGCATAAATTTTGTCTCCAAATAGTGAATTTGGTTGTGCAGAAGAGGCATTTTTGTTGCGTGAGAGTAGGTCAGCTTTGATATTAGTTTTACCACAAATATACTGGACGGTGTAATCATACTCTTCTGAAAAACACATTTTGATGCTTTTAGAGAAACCTTGGCAAATCGTAACTGATCAAATACTGTAGCTGATTCCTGAATGTTGTTCAACTAATTGGAATTTTGCAAAAACGACTTTGCCATAATACACGCACCAGATGCTAACTTTTTAGTCAAGAAAAAAAAATTTTTAGTCAATAAAAAATCTTCCGCAATCTGTTTGAAGCATTTCACTGCCAAAGATTTTGAGCGATGTCTTACCACTGATCAGTTGGGTGGTTTCGAGAGAAAATTTTCAAGAACATTGAGACAGGATGAACATGGGATAAATGCCTTTCCAACAATTTACCCCCAGCAGCGGAAGCAGGAAGACTTATATGGCCCCTCATCATCTTCATCGCCAGCAAAGGCAACAAAGCCTGGCAGAGGCAGCGCCCATCGACAGGTAGGTCTTATCTTTGAACTTAAAGTTACCAATTGTTGTTTTTGAATCTTCAACCACTTCATCTTTGGAATTACTTGTTCATGGCACTTTAAGGCCATATGAGGTTGATTGGGTTTTTACAATTTATGGTGTTTACAATCTTTTACTGTAGTTGATACGTGATGTTCTTCGGGAAGATGTAAGCCTGCCTGCAGTCTCAGAAAACGATGATCAAAGTGTTCCTGAGGAGAATGAGCAAGAAACTTTCCTAACTGAAAATGAACTAGTAAGTATGATTTAGGCCTAATGGGACTTGACTTCAAAATTTACTGGGGTGGGCACATTGAGAATAAATGAAGGATAAGCCCTTCTTGGCAAGCCACCCTTAAATGAGCAGATTGCTCATCAGAATTTCCCAAGTGACCTTTCTTTTCAGAAATATGCTTCCTGATTTTTTGTAATTTGTTCCTGGAAGTAAACTCGTATTTGCTGCTGAGCTGCCAAAAACTATAGATGTGGTATTCGGCTAGGTATTCGGTTATGTCATACACTAATCGAATATTCGGGTGTAACCGAATAGTTCGATTATTCGAATAGCATCGATTAATCGAATAGCAACGGCTAGTCGAATAGCAAAGACTGGTCGAATAGCGATGACTGATCGAATAGCAGTGACTGATTGAATAGCAAGACTGGTCGAATAGCAATGACTGATGATCGAATAGCAATGACCAGTTGAATAAGATGACTGATCGAATAGCGATGACAGATCAAAAATAAAAATGCATGCATGCTGCGGGGAAAATTGCATCCGTACGCAAACTGGGAGGGTAGGGGGTCTGCATAGCGTTGGTAAACCTGCGAAGAATTGGTTCAGGTTTATCAAAGAGCATTTATAAAGCTCTGAATCATCAAAGCCTTATGGACACTTGAGATATGGCATCGAGGCGATCCTGATATGGGGACGGGAGAATTCGCTAATCAGGGTACGCCGAATGGGTTCTCCTGTAATAAAGGAAAATATTACAAAAATAGTTTTCGAATCTGAATAATTTACTGGAGTTGCATTCTTTGATAGAGCCAAATTTCAATGAGTTAGTCTTCTGCACTTCAGTAATTTTTTGCCACTTCCAAATCTAAGAATTTTACGTCTACGATAAAAGATATGAGCAGCTTTTCTGGGTAATGGTGTTGAGACATTACGTAACTAGGTTTATTTTGAACCTTACTTATCAATCGCTTAAAATAGGCTGGGAAGGCTGTTTACTGTGATTTAGTTAATCGCCTTCCATGGCAACTGCTTCGTAGTTTGCTTTGAGGGGGCCCTTGTCAGCAAGGTATGATGTAAAGATGCTAAAATCACCTTAGAAAAATCGTATAAATAGGAAGTCATATGTGGCATTGTTTAGGAGTCATTTTAGAGCGGAAAAACTGCTAGTACTTTACTGAGTAAGTTTTATTTTAACATTCATTTAAACAGTGAAAATCATTTTCGACATAATTTTGTGTTCAATGAGCGACTGGAAGTATGATAAAAAGATCAAGTTTGGTTTGGGAATATTTTGCAAAAATAGACGAAAACAAGTTAGGTGTAAGCTGTGCGAAGATCGTCTTAGTTATCGTGGTGGAACAAGTTCCATGTTGTCACATGTCCGCAGCAAACACCCAACAGTGTGTCAACTGTAGTAGTTATCAATATTATTATTAACATTAAACATTATTAGCCCATCTGATCGCTGTGAGTGCAGGTCAATTTTTTAGCTTTGACAAAATAAACCCACGCAAAAGCACGCATGCATTTAATTCGACAAGGAAAACTGGTTCACTTATAAGAGTATTTGCGTAAGAACTGCAGCCTGAAATTATGTGAACTTTTCGGATATGTAATCAGTATGAAAAAACACGCTTACAGGAAGTATAATGTGTTAGCTTAGCAGTGTGTGCAACGGAGGTAACACCTCCGAGCGTGTAGCTGACGGCCTAATACAAAGGATTCTGAGCTTCAGCCATACAAGAGATGTGCAGAAGACATAACAGTAAATAATACCAAAGATATTATCATGAAAGGATGTAAAATGGTGATTCCTAGAAGCCTTCAAAATGAAGCAACAAAGCTAGGACATGCAGGACACCAGGGAATAGAAAAAACAAAAAGTTTAATCAGAGAAAAAATCTGGTTTCCAAAACTGGATGACAAAGTTCGTGAAATTGTCGAAAATTGTGTCGCATGTCAAGCAGTTGGAAATGCTACTTCACCTGAGCCAATGCAAATAACTCCAACAGTAGACATTCCATGGCATACCATAGCTATTGACTTTCATGGACCAAGAACAAATACAGAGCAATATCTATTGGTAGTAGAGGACCTTTATTCAAAATTCCCAGAAATCGAAATTGTGAATTCCACAACGGCAACAGCAGTAATACCCAAGCTGGACCGTATATTTGCGACACATGGCATTCCAGTAAAACTAAAGACAGATAATGGACCTCCACTTAATGGAAATGAGTTCAAGAGATATACCAAAGCTTTAGGTATGGAGTGGAAACCAAGTGCACCACTCTGGCCTCAAGGAAATTCGAATGTTGAAAGCTTAATGAAACCAATCGGTAAAGTTACAGACAGCAAAATTAGAAGGAAAGAACTGGAAACAAGAACTCCAAAGATTCCTACTAACATACTGAACAACGCCGCATGTAACAACGAAAGTACCTCCATGTGAACTGTTGTTCAATAGATCAATTCGAGGACAACCACCTGAATTGCCAAGAAGGAAGGTACTTAATAAGCATAAACAAGCAAAGGAAAACATCGAGAAAAAGAAAACAAAGAATATTATGACAAGAAACATAATACAAAAGAGTCAGAGATAAAAGAGGGAGATACATTTATTTGTCTACAAAAGAGGACAAATAAGCTAGTACCAAAGTTCAGCCCAGAAAGATTCATTGTACAAGAACGAAAAGGAAAAAAGATAGTCGCGAAAAACCAACGACATATCATAACAAGAAATGTCTCACATTTCAAGAGAGTTCCAGCAACGGACAGCTACGACAATGAAGATGAAGATATTAGTGACAGTGAAAGCAAGAAGGAAAAGAAGTTCCTCGCAGTTCATCATAGGCTGCTGCCGATTTTGATGCTATTGAAAGACACCACCTTATAATCATTGGCTGAAACCTATGCCCTTTTGAACTCCTGGAAGAATTTATCTGCTGTTGCTGCCAAAACAGTTTCATGAAAGGGCTCACAGTATCCCCATGCTTTGTAATCAACCCAAGAATATCATGGCTCAGATCTGAATTAATTTGAACACTATGACGTGAGATTTCTTCCTTCATCTCTTTGATCTTGGATTCCAGAAGGCGACATTTAACCTATTTGCCTGAAGTGTCAGTTTCAATCGCTTTGATGAAGTGAGACTTACTGGTGCTTTTGGTTTTGCAGGAATTTGCAGGAATAGCCTGCAGGAATAGAACCTGACATTCATTAGCACGATAAAAATATTTTGCTTGAAATGGCAAGCTGTTCAAAGTTTGCTCTTTTGCTTCTTCAGGAATACAGTGCCTGATAGATCCTCCACAATAATTTCAACATTGTGCCCATCACAACTTATGGCACTGTCTAAATTTCTGATCAAGTCAGATACTAATCTTACAGTTCTTTTGAAATCATTGTAAATATAATGATTAACTCGGATTTGCCAATTAAATACAGAAACAGAGAAGGTAAGTTCATAATCAATTGTGATGCAAAATTTTGGAATGATGTAGAATGTCTGAAATTTCTTCATTTCTAATTTATCTTCTGCATAAAAAACGTGCCAATCCTTTAGGGCCAGTTTCTTTACCCTGGAGCTTAAATCTCTGAAATCTTTGTAGTAACAAGTTGGTTTTGTCTCAAGTGCGATATCTCTCACAACTATTCTAGCAGGCCTCTTCTCAGATGCACTTTTTTGAAAAGTATCCAAACTCTTTGGAAGATTCTTTGTTGGAAGGACACCAAATTTTAAAAAATTTTTTGTCAGCTTTTTCCATAGTCTGCAAAAATAATTGTTATTACTGAACATGAGTATATAAAAATTTTCTCTGGTGTTATTTTTTGAGGCAAAATTATTTCACAAAATTTTTAATCCAAAACATGTTTGTGTTCAAAGGAGCTTCAGGCCATATTTTATCATGGATGGACAGGGTCTCCGAAGAAACCAAAAACGTGGGGGGGGGGGCAAACTTTGATAAGAAAAAATTACCGAAGCACAACATGATGAGCTGCCTTTTAAAGGCATAATTTGCAAAAAAGTGGGAGGGGGCAAGGCCCCCTGGCTCCCCCATCGTCGTTGGCCCTGATGGATGTGGATGGATTGGGCATCAATATTTACAGAGACAAAAACTAATCTTTACTCACGTATAGTGATGTCTTCAGTTAAGAAATGTCTCACACAGATGTGCAACGAATCGGCCTTCAATTGTCTTTTAAAATCGTCATTAGCTTCTCTATATTTGGTGATAACATTCACTAATTCTTGTCGCCATTGTGAAGATGTTTCCTCCTTCCTGACTGGAAGTTTAAACAAACCAATCTTGCCATCCGGGGTGCTTTTGCCTTTCCGTCGACCAACTCCGCAACCATTCAATCAGCAGTTTTCTCCAGGCATTAATCAGAATTTTCGGACCATAAGCAAGACTAAGTTACTCAGATATCAATGAAAAATAACACAAAACATATCGCCAGTCAACAAGAACGCAAGCAGAATAATTCGTCAGTGCAGTTAGCGGGATCACAGCACAGTAATGTGCAGGGTCATGCATAAATTCACACACGTTTTGCGAATAAAAGGATAGAACAATCAAAACAATAAAGCCCCCCGCGTAGTTTCCAGACCAGAGTATTTCTATTGACTATGGTGTCAATCATGTAAAGTGAAATAGAAAGACTGTCAGCTCATATCATTGTCAGTTTGCAAGAAGAAATGTTGTTTTTTGATTTCATTAAACAGTTGAATGAAAGTATTAAAGATAGCAATGGACTTAAATTAACACATGAATTAATTATCAAACAGTTAATCCCTGTATAATATGAAAAAAATTTTCTTATTGCAGATCAATGATTTTTCAACTCAGACAGTGTGCTGGAGACGTGCTCACACATGTGTTGTGGGAAATTAGTAACTTATTAGTACGTATAGATTTAGTTATCCGCATGTTTAAGGAACCAATGTAGATACTTACAGATACAGTAAAATTAATAGACTCGTGGAAACAGAAATTAATGCACACAACATCCTGCATGATGCACAGGCACATGGTTAAATCGCAGTAAAAACCGTAAGCAAAGCAGATTAATCAGTATTATTAGATAATTGGAGCAAATTCGTATAAAAGATTTAAATAGAAACACTAAAGTAGAGTTAGAGTCGCTCGAAATGTAGGTAAGAGACGAGCAACGTAGAGTCACCTAATAATTGTATGTGGAATGAAACAGAAAATTAAAGATGTACGAAAACGATATGGTCTTCTTCTTGAGAAATTCGGTTCACTTCTGAAACCTCTTTCGAATCAGTAGAGTGAAGCAATTAATGCAACAGACAGAAGCCTGGTTGGTTGCACCTGTTGAAGGAAAACAGGAAATTTCACAACTATTGGGTGAATGCAAAAATGAATTAGAAGTGGAAAGGAAAGAAATTACTTGGTTGCAAGCTGCCTCAGGTATTGTCCAGAGGAGGTGCGAAGCTAGGTAGATATTTTTATGGTAGATATTTTTCCTGAAGAAGCTCATGGCCGAAATTTGCAAAATTTGCGGCACAGTTTCAAACGGTAAGAGGTCATCCAAGTTTTTCATGAAAGTTTCAGAGTTCCTAGAAACCTCTAATTTCCTCTCCTAGTATAACCTAATCTCATATTTACGGCTTTGAAATTACTTAAATGACCAAAATTGAGTTGTAATCCACATATGGTTTAGGCCCATCTTACGCATTTGGTCAAATGTATGTTTTCTTGGGCCGTGTATTTCCTTTCTTTTGTGGGGACATATTCAGTTTATGTGTAAATTAGGTCACTACAAGTCTGACGCTATTAAAATTTCTATTGGTCCCCATTGGTCCCCACAGCTAATGGGTGAAATTACCTTTTAAAAAATGTCAGTTTTGGCGGTGTTTCACGAACCCGCCATTTAAATTCCCTATGTTTATATGTGTTGTGTGTAGAAATGTAAAGTTAAAGTTGCCTTTCAATATTGGTTTTCTTATGCCATGTTCACAGCCATATGCCTGGAACGTGTTTTCTTTTCTACGAAGACATAATACTGAGTGCTAGTGTTAAATAAATTTAAAATTCAGGCTAAAACTCTACTATCAGTTTGGAAAATTGCACAGATAAAGTTAAATGCAAGTTTAGGGGTCATCCACAAATATTTTCTGTCCCAGTTAAATTAATTTGCAGTTAAAGGGGGGGGGGTATGAGTTCAGCTGGAACTTCAAAGAATTCTACATTTTGCACAAGGATGGCTTTTGCCTACAATGACCAAAGCTAGTTTCTAGCTGTTTGTGCATTTTCACCACACAAATATTTTTCTTTGTAGGCCAGAGGCACAAAGGAATATAAATCCTAATGGTACAAAATGAATTAGACAAGTGAAAAACGTAGGCACTCTAAAGAAGGAGAGAATTTCCTTTGTTATGTTTTATAAAAGCCATTTCAGAAGCACTCAGCACAGCAGATAAACCATGTCCAGCAAACAAGACCCTCCACACCAAGCAGACTTAACAAAAGATACTTAGAGGAAACAACTTATATAATAAGAAAAAACTTGTGAAATCCTATTACACCTGTGCCTTGCAGTGATACACTGTTTGATGTAATTGCTCACTGGCCTCAGAAATCAAAAAAGAAACATGGATGTTGCTGTCATTGTGCTAATAGATATTCCAAGATATATTGCAGCAAGTGTCAAGTTTGCCTAAGTCTGAGATGTTGGAATTATGCAAATAAAACTTTATCATATGCATATTCTTTTTTTTGAAACAATATGCATACCACTTTTTTATAAACAGAACAAAATGCAACTAATAGAATATGAAAATTAATAAAATCAATTTATGTAAATGTCACAAGTATAGATACATGTATTCCTACTGTTGATTTTTGATAATGGAATGTCTTGATGTGTTCATGTGTATTTATCACAGTTATCTTCCTTTAAAGATTAAGAATCAATAGATTTAAAGTTTACTTATATTAAACCCTCTTTTTCTCACAGTTTGGAATTGCTATTACCCGGACTGTGAAAATTTTTTTGTGGCCTTATTTTGACAAACTTGATATGAAGAAACTGCAAAAATTTCATATGATAACATTTAGATGAAAATTTGCAAAATTGTCAAAAAATATTTTTCATTAATTGAAAGGGCTGGATCACATCAAAAATCTTTACATTGCAAAATAAAATTATGACCTTTATGATGATGAGAAAACGTCAATTTCATTGAAAAAGTTAGTAGGTACTTCTGAAAATCATGGAACTTTTGGTACCATTAGGAAACAATCTAGCATATTTTCCACAAAGCAAACCATCAAAAATAACAAGGAAAACAACAATTATTTTGCAAATATCTTTGTTACTGAATTGTTTAATGAAATTGTCTACAATTTACTACCATATTACACAATTTTTGTTGTGCATATCTTGTTTTATAGGATTAAACTAAAAGTTTATAAAATGCCCCATGTATAATGGTTTTGTATACATCAAGGAAAGGGATAGTAACATTGGGCAATGAAGACTTTCCCCTGGGGAACTTCCTTTAAAATCTCTTTTTCAGTCCAGGTCCTTTAACTATTTAACTGATCTTAACAGGTTTTGAGACAGAGTGAACAGAATTTTAAATCTGACTTTTTTATGTTTGAAAAAACCTCATTTACCTTAGTCATGTGCAAAAGAACATCGAAACATATCTTGTGTTAAGGGATTAAACTAAAAGTTTATAAAATGTCCCATGTATACTGGTTTTGTATACATCAAGGAAAGGGATTGAAGATAGTAACATTGGTCAATAAAGACTTTCCCCTGGGGAACGTCCTTTAAAATCCCTTTTTCAGTCCAGCTCCTTTGACTATTTAACTGATCTTAAACGGTTTTGAGACAGAGTGAACAGAATTTTAAATCTGACTTTTTTATGTTTGAAAAAACCTCATTTGCCTTAGTCATGTGCAAAAGAACATAGAAACATATCTTGTGTTAAGGGATTAAACTAAAAGTTTATAAAATGTCCCATGTATACTGGTTTTGTATACATCAAGGAAAGGGATTGGAGATAGTAACATTGGTCAATAAAGACTTTCCCCTAGGGAACTTTCTTTAAAATCCCTTTTTCAGTCCAGCTCCTTTGACTATTTAACTGATCTTAACAGGTTTTGAGACAGAGTGAACAGAATTTTAAATCTGACTCTTTTATGTTTGAAAAACCTCATTTACCTTAGTCATGTGCAAAAGAACATAGAAACACACAAGGAAGAGTTGAATAAATAGGGATCATAATTATAATAAAATTGATTTTGGCTTCTTGGTTAGTTTGTTTGCTTTTTTCTTTCACTGTACGTTTTTTTATAAGAACAATTTTATAAAACACGAGCCTCAAAACCAGTTAAAAGTTCAGAACAAAGTTTTCAAAATAAGAACAACCAGCCTGAACCCCAATTTCCTGGCTCCTAGAGTGGAAGGCCTAAATCAGTCAATGTACAAGGGGCTAAATCTTCAAGAATAACATATAAATTTGATATTTCTTGCTTATTGAGCAATTTTTGTATCTTCTGTCAAATTTGGGCTTCCATGTTCTGTACATGTATACATAAATACAGTTTGGCAATGAGGTCTTAAAGCTACATATAAACAGTCCAGAAGTAAATGATATAATTGTTTTTTAAGTTCTCTGTTTGCTAAACTCGTTAGTTTAGCATTCTCTTCTATCCTCGAAGTCCCAAATAATTTGATTCCATAAAATTGGGCTACGAAATGGTGTAAATGCTCTACGCTTGCGATCATTTTTGCTACCAAGTTTATCGCAATGATAAGCAGCATCCATACAGAGTTTATAGCGACTGGATTCAAGGAACTTCTATCCTTAAACCACCGTTCTGACGCCTTCTTTTGGATGTTAGGTTTTTCAAATGATCGGTATTTCTTGAGATAACAAGTATCTTCTCTGCATGGTTTCGTTTGTCGCTAAGCAGAGACAAGTTAACCAGTGCTCCGAAGCATTATCCTCGTCGCTACTATGAAATAATGTTGACAACTATCCTAGTACAGAACCCTGTTTTTAGTGTTTGAACAATTCATATTTTTGTTGCCTAGGCCAGGAGAGGTCCGCACACCAGCTGAGCAGCATTGAACGGCAGTCTGATGGCTACGATAGAATGCGCATGCGCTACCTAGCTTCATACCCCCCCTGGATATTGTCTTGCCACATCACAGAAATGAAGATGAGCTGGATAAATTAGAACTAGAGATGGACAAGGAATCAGAAGATCTAGATGTAAATACTAATGAAATAGTGAATGAAAGTGGAAATGTAGATACTTCAGAGGATGATGATTACATTGTGGAAGAGGAAGATATAGAAGAAAATGAAAATAAAGAAAGTTGCAATCAAACAATCACTAGCCAGTAAGTATATATTTTCATGCATCTTTTCTCATAGAGGAACTTTCCTTGTATGTAGATGAACAAATATTTTGTAAACCTTATGTTTTGACTTCAAAATAACATTAATCACCTTTTAATGGTATCATTTCAACATGGCGAGTAACCAGAAAGGATCAACTGTTGAGCTAAGAACTTTCGAAAAATATGACAACGGGGCTGTTTTTGGGAGAAAAATTGAGGAGATAGATGGAAAGAAGACGGTGACGTTCATTTGCTGCAAACTTTGCGCTATAATAAACTGTTGTTTATTCATATACCTTTATTGATGATTTTCGAGACTAAAAATCACCTGCCTTACTTTACCAAGGAGAGCGATGGTCCAATCGCCAGCTAAAATGCTCACTGCCAGGCCTATATATGATGAGTCATTTCACTTTTAGTTCTGAAGATGCTGAACCAAAGGATGTTCGCATTGAAGGAAAATTTATTATGTTTTTCCTTTCTCAACTTCTTCTGTTGTTTCGTGTCTGCCCAGCTTGCAAACAAGATGGTCTGCTTGCAGAAGCAAGGGTTTTTGGAACTATGGTGAAGATTGCCTCCTCTTGTGCCAATCCAAACTTTATGAACAAGGAGAGACTGTGGAGAAGTCAACCTGACATGCCTGGCACTAGAATCCTAGCTCAAAACTTTCTTCTGTCATTTGCAATTCTTGTAGCTGGTGCATCAGGAACAAAGTGCCCTCACCTTGAATACGCATGCAAAGTGTGGTCACCGCATACTAATGAACTGAAACAATAGGTTTTTAATATGATAGAATGAAACTATCACAGTTCCAAGTTTGAAATGAGGCTATGCGATAAGGAGGTTGAGACAACAAAAATCAATTTTTGAAACAATCTTCAGTTGTATCATTTGTAAATGCAGTTGTAAAATTGAAACATCGATATGGCAAGTGCAATTGAAGTTAGTGACGAGGGGGCTCCTGAAATCTTACCTACAAATGTTATAAGGAAAGTTTATCTTATAACATATAGTAACGCAAACATTGAGCTATTTGACAGAGAAAAATTCTCAGCTATTTTAACAGAGTTTTTTACGGTGGCAGCTACAAAATTCGCCGTAATAAAATGGGCATGCTGTGTATGGAAAAGCAAAAAATTGGAGCATACCATTTTCATATGTGTATTTTACTGGATAAATGTCAACGGTGGTTAAAATTAAAAAAGTACATTTAAGATCACCATCACATTATTGTGAATTTTTCCAGACATTCAGGGTATCATACTGCCTTCAACTGTGTCGCCAAGGAGGATCAGGGTTTCATCAAGAATGAGAACCATCCAGAGGTAGATGCTCCAAAAACATCAAAGGCCACAAAGGCTAAATCTGCATCGAATGGTGGTAAACCATCGAAACAACTAAAGCGTCTATGCAATTCCGATGCGGCCAAAATGATCCTAAAAAATGCATTAAAATCTCGTTTAGATCTTCTTGCGCTAACCAAGACCTCTGCTGGAAATGATGATGAGCGTCTGTATGAATCTGTTCTAAATAAAAGCGAAAAAAGGTTACAGGAATTGGTTGGCACTGTGTGGGAAATGGAGATGGCAACAGAGAAGCTTCAACGCGCTAATATGACGAGGGTTGAGATCTTACAGCAGAAGTTATCTGTTGTTTGCATTTGCAAGGGCGAGTGGCTCAAATGTGACTTGGAGATTCTGGAAAACAACCCCATCTCAAAAGCTGCTTTTACTGAGGCCATTTTGGCGTTGCTTGACAAGGGTAGAGGCAAGGGTCGTAACATTTATATTGCAGGTCCAGTGAACTGTGGCAAAACGTTCATTTTAGACCCACTTAAAATTGTCTACAATGCTTTCCTGTCTCCTGCCACTTGTTCTTATGCGTGGCTTGGTGTTGAGGAGAAGGAGGTAATTTTTCTGAAGGATTTTAGGTGGTCACCTGTCATTCTGCCATGGAGTGATAGGCTGCAGTTGTTGAAGGGGGCCGTTGTACACTTCGCTGCTCCAAAAACTGTGTATAGCAAGGATATTGAGCTCACCCAGAACACTCCTGTCTTTGCCACATCAAAGGCTCCAATTCAATTAATCACAGGCTCCATGCTAGATAAGAGAGAGACAGAGATGATGAACGTTTTTTTGGCGAATATTCAAATTCAAGCATCAGTTTGATCAATGGGTGCAGAAATGTGTTCCTGCCTGTGGTCATTGTTTTGCCAAAATGATCTTGTGACATTAGGCATCATCAATGTTAATTGTGATTAACATCAGCAATTGTTAATCACAATAGGCATTATTTAATACAAAAGGCATCCTTAGCAGGGGCAAAGCCTCGCAAGGCTTCAATGTTGATGTGAAACGTGGCACGACTGTTAACCGTAGTGTTAACCATGGCTGTTTTTTTCATCTCATTTCTTATTTGAGAGACTTTCTCGCCCCAAAGCTCCTCAACAAGGTGTCTTCTAATTTAATCTACCCAAAAATATACGTTTGGCCTGAATTTATTGCCTAAAAATGACAAGATTTGTGAAAACTCACGGTTAACCTTTGAAAATGGAATAGTCTTAGATCATATCAAATTCAATTTTCAAGAAAAGTGTAGACCGTGGACTGTTTCTCAATTTTCTCCTTTCGCATGTATGAAATCCAAGTCAAAGTTTATAGACCATTTGAAACAAACACACCTCTTGGCAAAATCTGGATTGTTTTTTGTCTCATTAACACAACTTTTGCAGGCATTTTAAAAATCGTTAACCGTGACTGTTAACTGTGGGGAAGACATTTTCAGACTACGAAATGGCCCTATGACATTTGAATACCAATAGTTTTCAATTCAATTTAGTGTAAGGTCTAATGATTTTAAGTATTGAAATATATTGATATGCCAATCTTCTACCATGATTAAGTTGAAGATTCCACACAAAAGCAGAGATAAGCATAAAATCTGAAGGAATCACAAAACACTTTCTCTACCTTGCTGATGTCTGTAGGTGGGAAGGGGCAACATGCTGTAAAAAATTCTACTTGTTTGTGATTTACGTGTGCATTTTTAGCCATTTTTTACTCAGCTGTTTATAAACATATATGTTTA